TGAAAAAGGTCCTTAGATGCCTCCGGTTTAGGGTGTTTAGTGGTTTTAGGGTTTAGGGTTCAGGGTTTTTTAGGTTTTGCCTAAACCCTTAGATGCCTCCGGTTTAGCGTGTTTAGGGTGTTTAGGGTTTAGGGTTCAGGGGTTTTTAGGTTTTGCTTGGGTATTCTGGCCGGGCGAGCACTAATCAAACCTGTGGAAAAGGGCTTATGGTTTTTGGGCCCCGAGCCTATTGTGCCGAGCAAGCCCCACCACCCGTAGGGCCCGTAGTCATACAATCACCGTGTCCGAAGGCCTGTGATAGCAAACCCCCACCGAGAGCCTTATTCTTGCAAGCCCCACCGACAGCCTTGGAGCAAGCCCCACCGAGAGCCGAGCAAGCCCCACCGAGAGCCTTAGAGCAAGCCCCACCAAGAGCCGAGCAAGCCCCACCGAGAGCCTTGGAGCAAGCCCCACCGAGAGCCTTATTGCAAGCCCCACCGAAAGCTTTAGAGCAAGCCCACCGAGAGCCTTGGAGCAAGCCCCACCGAGAGCCGAGCAAGCCCCACCGAGAGCCGAGCAAGCCCCACCGAGAGCCTTATTGCAAGCCCCACCGAAAGCTTTAGAGCAAGCCCCACCGAGAGCCTTGGAGCAAGCCCCACCGAGAGCCGAGCAAGCCCCACCGAGTTTTTACCTTTGTGTTTGGCGCCTGGCGCCTCCGCAGCTCCACAACCACTATAATCGATCTGTCCTGGATTCCAGGACTATGCTGCTACTTTCAAACGACTACGTGACTATAATCGATCGGTACCCCTGGATGCCAGGACTATACTGCTCCGTCCTTTGCTTGGTTGATTGCTCGTTGCTTGGGGTGTATGTTACGGTCGCTTGGTTGCTTGCATGCGTCGGTCGCTTGGTTGCTTGGTACCTTGCATGCGTCGGTCGCTTGGTTGCTTGGTACCTTGCATGTGTCGGTCGCTTGATTGGTTGATTTCTCGTTGCTTGGGTGCATGTAGAGCTTGAAACATGTCTCACTGTTGCTTGCTTGCATGTGTCTGTCGCTTGGTTGGTTGATTGCTCGTTGCTTGGGCACATGTAGAGGTTGAAACATGTCTCACCGTTGTTAGCTTGCATGTGTCGGTCGCTTGGTTGGTTGCTTGCTGGTTGCTTCGGCACATGTAGAGCTTGAAACATGTCTCGCCGTTGCTAGCTTCCATGTGTCGGTTGCTTGGTTGGCTGGTTGGTTGCTCACTTTTTGTGTGTTTTGTGGTGAATTGGCATCTTTACAAATCCTGTAACTCTAACAACCTCCTGAATTCAGACTCATGAACGCCAATATTGAACTCCAACAAAAGACCTGGCGCTTTTATCATGCCAATTTGCTTTTCTCAAAAACCAGGTCTTTTAAAAAAAGACTTAAGAAAAGACTTGGGCCCACCAGGATCCGCATCTCGTCGTAGATCCTCGGGCCGCCAATGTTTGATGACGAACTTGATGGCTTGGTTCATCTGGTGGTGTCGGACGGTGTTCTCCCGGTGAGTTTCGAGCACGCTTGTGAGAGAGCGCATCATCTGCTCTTTGGTTGCGTCATGAGGACCTGAGGGCATGTCGCAAAGCAGCTCCATGATCTTACCCGGCGTCCTGTAGCGCTCGAACTCAGGGAGCAATGGAGACCCACTGTACTCCAGCACCATCTCATTTTCCAATCGTTCATCGTAGATCTTTTCCACCAGTGCAAACGAGTGTGAATCTCGAGGATTCGGAACGCAAAACCAAGCTTCCTTGACGAGCGAGAACGGCACCGTGCGTCCAATGATGATGACACCACTGTCGGAAATTCGTCCTCCTTCTCGGGCGAGGTCTGTTGACGGGACGTGAAGGACCACAAGAGGCATGTGCTTCCCTTCGGGCCCATGCACCCTGGTCTTCGTGGTAGCATTCCTGCCGTCAAACGGTGCGAATACTCCCCAATAGCTGTGGAGTCAACCGCCCCTGTTGTCTCTTACTTGGCGGCGCTGATCGAAGTCCCCGTCGGGGTCCTCCGAACCTGGCACAACACCGTGCAGAACAATAGAACCAAGGTTTCGGCATGCTGTCGCGTGGAATGCTCCTCCCAGACGGCCCAGAAGACTCATCGATGGAGAGATTGCGAACCTGTCCTTGTCCAACTGAAGCAAGTTGTTGTAGGGGTTGGAGTGCGCAGAGTGGCCACTTGTGGCGCGAACAGCCTAGGGCTTGACCCAGCCATTGCATTGCTGCATGTACTGTTGGCTGAATCTTGTGTGATTGCTGGACTGGATCTCGGAAATCTGATCTTCCACGGAAACCACGCTCTGTGTGTTGACCATGCCGAGAGGTCCTCCTCCTGGGTCTTTCACTCTCACGCCCAGAACCTGCAGTCTGATCTTGGCTTTGTGCCGCTTCGTGGCAGCCAACCAGTTCCCTTGGAAAAACAACTGCAATCTCTCGTTGTACACCCTCTTCTTTTGATCATGATCTGTCCCGGAGATTCCTTCCGTAATACCCCTGCTGCTGTGGGTCCAAAGCTCCTCTTTTCTGACCAAATCTTCGACAAGCACCCATCCACCTTCATCACATTGGATAATGTCAGTGAACGCCACTCGGCATCTGCCGTCAAGCCATACTGATCCCGGTCGAATTGAAATTCTGTGGCGCAAGTCAGATTGTATGCATGACAGTGCCCATTCGGCATTATTCCTTCGCTGGTGGTTGAGGTTGCGAATCACAACTTCGTCGACGATGTCCCACCTGGTGTTGAAGAATCGTGCACCTTTGGTGGGGATCAGACCAAGGATGCCGCATCGGATCGGTCTACCGCCTCCTACCGAGAGGATCCGAAGCTGTGCTAAGGACAGCTGCGTAGGGCCACGAAAGCTGCGTATTGCGTCAGCTCCACGAGAGTTGCGTCAGCTCCACGAGAGTTGCGTCAGCTCTACGTAGAGTTGCGTCAGCTCTACGTAGGCTACGTAAGCTCTACGTAAGTTACGTACACCGTACATATCATCTATTAAATATGTATCTTCGTGCAGATAAAACGGCATACTCGTATGCATAGCAATAGATACATATAGTGAGTGGCGTGAATAGTTATATTTGTATATATTTGTACTATTTGTATATATGTATACATACATATATATATATATATACACTGCATATATGTATATATATATATACAATACACATACGTGTTGCGGTCTGCAGATCCGCGGTATTGCAACCGTGCACAAAGGACATCTCCGCAACGTAGACGACGTATACGTACACGTACGTTATAACGGAAGGACATCTCCGCAACGTAGACGACGTATACGTGTACGTACATCGCGTATATATTGTACTAATATATATGACGTACACATGCATGATACCGCGACTTTAAGTATATCTAGATCCATATATATCTATACACATATTATACAGTATATATGTTATAAGACTCTAGATAGGTATATATATATATATATATATTAACGTTATATGTATATATATATATATATGTAACTCTTTATATTATATTCTATTATATTCTATTATATTCTATTATATTATATTATATTATATTATATTATATTATGTTATATTATGTTATATTATATTATATTATATTATATTATATTTACTTCACATACGTGCCGTGGTCTGCAGTCCGCGGTATGAAGCCGTGCACAAAGGACATCTCCGCAACGTAGACAACGTTTGCGTAAATACATATACGCGACGCTATGCAAAGGACATTCCCGCAGCGCAAATAAATACACGCGCCGCGCATACGTGCGTCTATGCAGCGATGCGTATACTCCGCTACCAATGGTTGCATGCATGCATGCTTCGTGGGAAATTGACACACGTGTGGAAACGCTGCATTTCTATATAGAGTCCGTCGCCGCAGTATGCAGGGGTTCTTGGTCATGAGCCAAAAAATGGAAAAAGAAAAAACAGTAGCTATATGCATGTGTATATATATATATATGCGGAATACGAGTAGCAGTTCTTCGTAAAGTCTTGAATGCGGGTCCGTCGTTCGCTATATATGGTTGCTGAAATCTCTAGCACAAGAAGGCTTAAGTTTAACAGTGTTTGAATGCGGACGATGATAGCTTCCGGGCGTTGGGCCTTAATTCGGGGTGTACGAGTCGCAAAGGTTGGATTTAGGGCGGTGTTTCGGTAGTTATTGCTCGTACGATCTTTGCCGTCGGAGATACAATGCTTGTTTCGAGGATGTCAGGGTCAATACATGCAACAAACAGTAGGAGTCCCAAGCCCCAAGCCTCGACTTCACAGGGAGCCTTGTTACTGTACTCAGCAACTAATGAAGCCCTAAATGCCTTGAATCTCGAACTCCCCATGATCTGCAAAGCCAGTCATGCCAGCTGCCTGAAAGTTGTACTATTGTCCGGACAAGCAGGTTTTTTATATAGGGTTTGGGGGCAGGGTTTCTAGGAGACGTATATGCTTTAAAGGCACCTTAAGGAATTGTGTCATGGTCCGGGATGTATGGGTAGGGTTGTAGGGAGTGAGCGCAGGTTTTGTAGTTAATGATTAAACCTGCTGCCGGCACATCTTCGAAGCCGTTGCAGAAAGGAAGTTGCAGTTTTGAGGTTGGTGCCGATAAATCTTGTGCATAACTTGGGCGGGAATGTGGCTTGGGGTCCGAGCTGCTATGGGCATACGGTTCGACTTGTCGGAAACTTTCGGGTGTAAAGGCTATACTTGGAGGCCCTTTTGACTTAGTAAGTAGGGTTAGTAAGGTGGGTTATGGGGTTGCTAATATGGTTTCTACGGGATACTAAGTAGACTTACTAAGTCAAAAGGGCCTCCAAGTAGGGAATTGAAACCCCGAACACCCAAACTCCCAAATCCCGGTCCCATGACTTTCACAAGCTCAGCGCACGACTGCTGCGAAGCTCTGGAGGCGGGGCATTCCGGCACAGTTTAGGCGGAATGAAAATTCCAAAAGGGTAGCCCAAACTTCTATAACAACTTATGCCGGTCTAGTATGGTCATTCTCGTGACCGTCGGAAACGGAGGCTCAGCAATAGCAGAACTCTTGCGTAGAGCCGGGACATAAGATTCGCTGCATGGCATCTAATGCCAACTCTCTTCAGTTTACCCAGAAACGACTCCTCAGCCCACACTGCTCCAATGATCATCAAGTTCAGCTTCGTACGGCGCATGTGCCGCGAGAGGTGAAGCAGGTAGTGCAGTTTAGGCTTGCAGCGGAAGCACTTCCAGTTTCGTGATAAACATTCAGCTGCCAGAAGCTGCCATAATTTCAGGTGCTTGCAAAACTTTCCATGGGCTTCCTTACATGGGGGGCAAGTGGCATTCGAAATATGATTATTTCGGGAATATCATTGCTTCGGTTTCATCGTTGCATGGTTTACTTATGTTGCCCAAACAAACGGGGCCTCAGCTTCGCTCTCCGAGAGAATAAGGCCACAGGAATCCAACAGCTTGACGGCATCGTACAGGGTCCACAGGCAGACCGTGATCATCTTCAGCATCGATTCCTGTTGCCGGATCTGGGGTTTGGGGCTCAGGTTTATGGGGTTTAGTTTAGAGTTTCATAGGGTTGGAGGTTTCGGACTTTGCAGGGTATAGGATCCCTACAGCGAAACTAGAAGCGAAAACCTTTGCAACACCCGACATCAGAAATTCCGAACATGCTCCTCGGGTCTCGCGGCGGAAAACGCAGCAGCTTTACGACAAAAAAACCACAGACTTGTTTTCACACTTGCGGCTTTGAAGACACTTCCAAGCTCAGCCCAATCTTCATGTGTGGTGTTGCTTTTCGTAAATCTTGGCATATCCATCGTTATCCTTGTTGCGTCAACTGTTTTAACGTTTGGGTTCGGAGCTTTAGTAGTAAAACACAGCACAGTGTTGCTGAAGCACTGGACCGAAATACTTGTGTTCACGGCACGTATCCTTCATCTCAACAGAAAAAGTTTTCAGGTTGCGGTCGAAACTGTCATGCCCCAGAATGCCCATTCGATGCCAAACACCAAGGCAAGAGGCCAGCAACACACGAGCCGTGCCCAGCCACACGATATGCATGGCATCAAAAAACACAGTCTCCAGCCGGAACCCCGGCATCCCCATCCAGGGAGACGGGTCGGTTTCATGTCTGATGTAGTCTTCGTGCCGTACCTCTGTCATCCAACAAGCAGCATCTTCACCCAAGTGTGTATAGGCCAAGATGTTGTCGGCGCTAGGAGCCATGGCCATACACTGGTCACACATCCTGTTGCACAGATAATACCGCGAAAAAAAATGTGCTTGTACCCTCGCCTTGAGGTCTGCTTTCCATCCGAAGTACACCAGCCGCCAGCCAGATGCTAACGGTTTGCCTTTCATACTGAGTTGAAACGGTGAAGTAAAGCAATCATTGTCAATGTCCACTGCGGGCCCAACCCCTTTAAGGCTTTGTTCCATTGACCACGACAAAACGGCCGCAACTTTCGCATGAGCAAACCGCCTCTTCCCGCATGCACGCGTGCGGGATGATGCAATTGGGAAATTTAACATCCCAAACCTGGAAGAGGTTTGAAGGCATTTGGAGGGAAAAGGTTTTCGTGATGGACAACGAATGAAAGCTGAACTCACAGAAAGAAACAAGAGATTGCAAGCAAAACGCCCAGGGACATCTGACTCTTTATCCGTGAAAACCGAGCTCATATTCCAGACGATGTGCTCCGAGTTCCGATAAAACTCCGCCCCGTCGCAGTGGAAACAGACCGGCACACATCCTTATAGGTATTTCGTATTTGTTATGCATGTCTCTTTGCAAAGAAGTATTCAGAAAATGTTTGATTGTTTGAACACCAGGGGCTCGCGAGGTCCACATCCTCGCTGAAGACAGGGTGATGTTTCCAGTCATCGTGTTGTCGGCAATGCTCCCAGAAGGCGGTGATGTCGCTCCCAGAAAAGCCGCCAGTCATCGATCTTTGAAACTGGCGCATTCCGGAAAAACACATCTCTTCTCTCGCTCTCTCTCTCGCTCTCTTCGTTTGTACGTTCATGAACGGCACAATAACATGCACTACGTCTGATTCCCGCCGGCCTGCACAGTCCCCGCTTGATGTACGCAGCGCAGAATCTCGTGAGGCAACAGCATCGGAATCTTCACGATGTCCGTCTTTGTCGAGTCGGGCACCTGCAGGATCATTGGACAGAGCTACACCTACATGCACTCTCACTAGAGTTTCGTCACAAATTTTCTCTACAAAATTCTGCGAATCATCGGGGGGCCGAAAGCTCCATCCAAACCGGCAAAGGTTCAAGGTGAAAGCTCCAGAGGTTTCTCATCCATCGATGGAGATCCCTTTCTTGATTTGATTCATGACGGCCGTTTGTTCCGAGCGAAGCAAATGCCATCATAGCCTCATGAGGAACGTCCTTCACGAACGCGCGAGCCATTGTGGCCAACTGTTGAACACTGGCTTGGCCCTGCCCCAGCATGCCTTGCTTTTGGTGTTAGCGGCTATAGCTCCGAAGAAAACGACACATCATTATGTTGTTTGAACTACCTTGTCCGAGAATCTAATGAACTCATCGATAGCATATGAACTCATCTCCTCCACCTTCCGCTTCCGTGCCCCGTGCGTGGTTCTATCCAGCGCAGCAGTCGAAGCAGCAGGTTGCACAGCCAAAGACCTTGCAGCAAGGTGGAATTCCGACGTCATATATGGTGGTCAACATGATACCTACACTGCGTATGTACCGGCATAAGTTCCAAAGAAGCTCTTTTGTCGTTGGCTTGAAAGGCTTTGGGAGTTTCGGTCATAGGATTTATAGGGGTTCAGGGTTTTGGGGTTAGTTTCGAGTTTGCTGTGTTTTCGGGACTTACCTATTCAAGCCGAAGCTAGCCATCCCTACTTATAGGTTGGCCAAAGCCCGATCCTTCCAGCAGTTAAAGCTTTTCCGAGCGATGAGGTCATTGGGGCTTTAGGCTTTAGGTGTACATTTCCTGCAAGGATAAAGAGAGGGTCCTGCGTTTTCCAAATCAGCTAGGATGACTCCCGAGTCGTGCGTCCCACTACGTCGTGCAGCGTAGCCACAGCCGCACTCCCCAACAACAGCCCGGAGTATGTCTAAAGGCCATACTATAGTTAGACAGCGCTCTCCATTTGCAGCACGCCTCGTCACAGGCGTGCATGTCGAGAGACCTGGGCACATGCAAGGGTGAGGACTTGGAGGGTTATGGGGCTTCCGGCTTCAGGTGTTTATTCACGTTGAGAGCTCCGGGGTTTGGGACGGTGGTTTCAAGTACTTCGACAGTAAACCCACAAAACCCTACAAACCCTTGAAGCTTGAGGATTCAAGTTTTGGGTCTGGTTCAAGGTTCTTGTAGATGAGATTGTTGTCCATTAGAATGTTCGGGGTGGTGGCGTTCGGAATTAAACTTATAGGTTAGAAGCTGCCCCCACCCTGTAATAGTGGTATAATAGGAATATAATAGGGCCCTATAGTTATATCCTATATAATCCTTATAGTCACTATAGTCACTATTACAGGGTGGGGGCAGCTTCCAACTTATGGGGCTTTACAGGAGTCAGAAACTCGAAGCTTTGATGCGGCTAAACGTCATAGAGTATGCAAGCGAATGCCGCTTTTCCGGACTGTCATGATACTGCCCACAGAAGCTGCAGATGCCGTGCTTTGCACAGCACGAATCTTGAAATCGGGCTCACTTGAGCGATCGCCATTGCACATGCTTACAGCTGAGAAGCTTCACAAACTTGTTTGTCAGCCATCACTCCAAGCCAAAATGCCCATCTTGTGAAACCTGTTACGCACTCTTGGCCTCGTTGGCAGCAGCCTTCTTGCCTTTCTTCTTCTTCTCCTTCTTGTCCTTCAAGCCGTTGAGCAAGCCCTTGGCGGATGCCTGCGCGGATAGGTGGTGCTAGTGAACCTGATAAGGTATAAACCCTAAACCCCTAAACCCTAAACAGGGCTTATCAAGATTGGAAGGGCTTAAGGGCTCTAGGCTCAAGGCTTCATGAGTCAACCGGCAAGTGTAGGGGTGCAGGGTTTGTGATGTAAGATCCAAACCAAAAACAACGAAGTCTTGGCAGGAGTGGGTTTTAGTGTGCACGGTTTGTAAGTCGTGTGTACGTTTGTATGTTTGTGCATATATGCCTGTGTATATGAACTATAGTGTATGTAGCGTGCATGCGCGCACATGTGTATGTGTACAAGTGTATAGCGAACATGCATGCGTGCACATATGCACACTTGTACACATACATCCATGCATATGTGTGTGTATGTATGTATGTATGTATGTACGTATGTACGTATGTACGTATGTATGTATGTATGTATGCATCAGCAGCTACGTGTACAGTTTGTCCCATAATGCTATAAACAGACATACGCGGTCTCATCTAATATTTTTATACCATTCACTCACTCACTCACTCACTCACTCACTCACTCTCTCGCTGACTCCCTCGCTCCCTCCCTCACTCACTCATGCACTGACTCGCTCGCTCGCTCACTCTCTCACGCACTCATACACACTCACTGACTCACTCGCTCACTCACTCACTCTCACTCACCCACCCACTTACACACCACTCATTCACTCACTTTCGAACCCAGAACACCACCAACACCCACACTGACCCCGGCACAAACCACTGCGCCTCAGCCTTCTCATACCATGCGTGCATCGCATCGATGATTTCGTAGAACCTGGGTCGCAAATTTTGGGCCGCTCTTATGAACTCTTTCTTTTGTTGATTAATGGACAAATATTCCGGGCTCTGTATGATGTAAAACACAACCCAGGAGCTTGGTGTACTTGGAGTTTTTCTGCACCTTGGCCTTTTTGAGGCCTTGGAGTTTTGGAGTAGATGCCTTCCAATTTCGTGGAATGCTTCTGCAAGTCGGAAGCCAGGTCCCCGCTGTATTCGATGTGGGCCAAGCTTATCGCGTACTTCCTCGAAGCACCACTCTCGTTCAGGATCTGATCCATGCGCTCCTGGCAGAGCCTGAGAACCACTGTGCTGTCACTCATATAGAGCACTCACTCATAACCCCGCCCCCGCAGCGGCCCACCTAGGCTCTTGCAGAGAATCTCTGACAATGTTTCCAGTCTCTCGTCTGTGCTCACACACATTGTTTTATGCAACGGCACTATCTTGACCGGGGCCACTACTCCCATGGCTCCTTAGGAGCCACCTTCTCCGCATCCTCCTCCGGCTTGGCCTTCACCGGCTTCGGCTTGACCACACCCTCCTTGACCATGGCGTTGAGGAGGTTCTTTGATCCCTCCTCATTCATGCCCTCAATGCTCGGAAGGGCCCCGGATGACAGCATGCCGCCGTCGGCGGTCAAGGCGTCCACCAGGCCACGATCGGGGGCACTGTCCTTCACCTTCAAGCCCAGAGACTCGGAGGTCCTCGCCTCGCGCCTCACCTTCGAACCGCCGCTCACATAAAAGAAGTCCTCGTCCTCATCCCCGGGAAAGTCTTCGTCTTCCTCGTACATCTTCTTCTTCAGCAATCTGTCGATGAGGGTCTTTGCCTTCCTGAAGATGCAAGGGATGGATTCACCATGCAAAGAGAACACCTCCTGCAGACATAAAATCGGAAGCCAAGCGTCTCCGGTGGGTACTTCTTCTCGATATCCCGCTTCTTCAGGCCCTGGCGCTCTTTTCTAGCAAGCGTACTGTTCTCGGCCCTCCTTTCCATCACGAGACTGACCCTTAGATGCCACACAAATGGAGGCTTAATTGCGCGGACCCTTGTGCAACAACGTGATCACTGCTAATACATATGCCAAAACACTTCTCCCAATCGCCTCCACACTCAAGCCATCTACGGAACATATCCAACTTGTTCTTTTCCACGTGCCCGGCAAGTGCCGTGGGGCACTTGCGCTTATCCAAACATTGTCTGCTGAATTGGTCCCACTGATTCTTATGTGTCGTACCTCAGATATGGAATTTGTTCATTTCATCATCCTGTGCACAAACGTCATAATAAATCACTAGCACACACGATCTGATGACGGGGCTGCTGTTGGCAGCTGAGAAGTCAGCAGCACCCTGCACTGTCGTCTCCCCGGCACAAGCCATGGCCTTGCCGATCGCATCCGCAGAGCTGGGCGTCAGCTTCTCGGCAGCCACGATCGCTGTCTCGTTGACGGACACCCTCTTGTCCTTCTTCTCCTTCTTCTCTTTCTTGTCTTTGTGGCGGCTCGACAGGGCACTGGGTCTCTCCGGCTTCTCGGTCTTCTCGGGCTTCTCGGTCTTCTCGGGCTTCTGGCGGCTGTCCTTCGTCTCCTTGCTGGGCTTCTCGTTCTTCTTTTCGTGCTTCTCTGGCTTCTCGGTCTTCGGGTGCTTCTCCGGCTTCTCGGTCTTCTGCTTCTTGGCCGGCTTCTCCTCCGACGAGGACAAGTCGGACTCGGCGCTCGTCTCCAAGGATGCGTCATCCTCGCTGTCGTCCTCTGCAGCCTCGCTGCAGTGTCCATCTCCGCTTTCGGAAGGCGGGACGGAAGACTCCGGAGGCTCCTCCGAGCCTTCGGCCGACTCCTCCTGAGAAGCCGCGGCTGAGGACTCCTCGTCGGAGCCATCTTCGTCCTGCACACGAGCACATCTGACGCTAACGTGCTACATACCGCTTCGAACATGCTATAGTAGACTGTCGGAAGACCGGCCTTCTGCGCGGCCTCAGCAGCAAACCTGTCGTCCAAGTTCTCCGCCGACTCCCTGGCCAGGTACTGCTCCACAGTGAGGCCTTCGGCTGCGGCTGCTTTCTTCACTTCCATGAGGGCCGCGATATGCTCCTTCTGCGATGTCGTCGGCGAGGAACTGGAGCGGATCTGGTTCACCGGCGTCGCCGGCGTCTCACTGCACTCACTCTTTGCCACAACCGCAGTCTCCGAGACGGCTGGCTTCTGCTTCTTCTCCTTCTTGTCCTTCTTCTCAGCCAACTTCGTTTTCTTGAGCAGGCGCCGCTTCGGGCTTGAAAGCTTGTGGCTTTTGGCACTTTTGTCCATGATCGCTTCACAGGCTTCTCAGATCTACAAAAACTTCAGCAAAATGCTTCCGATATGCACAACGCATGAAGTTGGAAGTGCGTGAAGACATAGCAGAGGAAAAGACTCAAATGTCTGTGTTGCATGGAAATGAGGCAATGGCAATTGTATGCACACATGCATATGTATATGTATGTATGTATGCATGTATGCGCGCATGTGTATGTGTGCATGTATGTATGTATATGTATGTATGTATGTATGTACGTAGGTAGGTATATGTATGTATGTATGTATGTATGTATGTATGTATGTACACATAGGCGTATATGATGTACATATTGGCCTATGTAGCTGTATATATGTATATATGTATATGTGTATATCTACATGTACATATGTATATGTATGTATTAATGGACTCATGTATGGGGAGCCCCCCACCCCACCCCACCCCAGCCCCACACCCCACCCCAAAAAGGCACCAGAAATCGAAGAGCGTAAGCAACCTGCACCCAGCAGAAGCGAGCATCATGAGCATCAGTCGTTAGTGGGGCGTCGCAGCAAGTTTTTTTTAGGCGAACAGAAAAAACCCAAGTATATATGGGTCGGTAAGTATAGGTAGGGATGTAGGAGACAGTATGGGTAGGCGGGTAGTATATATGGCGGGGCATCATGATCATTTAAAAGTAGGCACGCAGCAAAAGAACAGAGACAGCCACGAATGGGAGCACACAGGCCGGAACCACGGACCACAGCCACGAATGGGAGCACACAGGCCGGAACCACGGACCACAGCCACGAATGGGAGCACACAGGCAAGAACCACGGACCACAGCCGGGAATGGGAGCACACACACAGCCACGAATGGGAGCACACAGCCCGGAACCACGGACCACAGCCACGAATGGGAGCACACAGGCCGGAACCACGGACCACAGCCACGAATGGGAGCACACAGGCAAGAACCACGGACCACAGCCGGGAATGGGAGCACACACACAGCCACGAATGGGAGCACACAGCCCGGAACCACGGACCACAGCCACGAATGGGAGCACACAGGCCGGAACCACGGACCACAGCCACGAATGGGAGCACACAGGCAAGAACCACGGACCACAGCCGCGAATGGGAGCACACAGCCAAGAACACAGCCACGAATGGGAGCACACAGCCCGGAACCACGGACCACAGCCACGAATGGGAGCACACAGGCTGGAATCAGGGACCACAGTCGCGAATGGGAGCACACAGCCCGGAACCACGGACCACAGCCACGAATGGGAGCACACAGCCCGGAACCACGGAGCACAGCCACAAATGGGGGCCCACAACCCGAATGCTACAGCCGCGAATGACAGCACACAGCAGCACAGAGTGCCGCCAGACGCAGCCGAGAAGGGGAGGGATGTAGCCACGAATGCGGGGCCGTGCCCGACCACTTCATGGAAAAATGACAGCCAAGAATGGAAGCTGGGCCCCCAGCGGACCCAGCCACGAACGGAAGGGCAGCCACAGCCACAAAAATTTGAGCCACAAGCCAGCACAATTGTTGCCCCACGGCCGTGGTAAAGGCAATTGGGGACGGGACGGAACGGGCCGAGCCGCGACCCGATTTTTTTTTTCGCACTGGGCGCCAAAACTGGATATATCCCATTCGCGGCTGTTCTCGCCCATTCGCGGCTGTTTCTCGCACCACACGCGGCTGAGTTTGGGACGGAACGGGAAAAACCGGGCCGGAAAAAAAAAAAGAAAAAAGGAAAACGCACTTGCTGACCCCTTCCCGCCCCAACCAAAGCGGTTGCCGACAGTGGCAACAAGCTCGAATGCCTCTGTGTTTATGGAAAGCAGGACTTGGGCTGCTTGGAACCTGGCTGCACCTTTTCATTGTGCGGAGATAGAGTTGGTATGAACTATGGAACCGGGCGTTCGCGGCTGCAGCTTCTTTTGTGTTTATGGAAACCAACACTGCGGTGATACATAGTTGGAAACCATGGAAACATGGGCGTTCTCGGCTGCGGTGCTTGTACGACGCGTGATAGATGGTTGCGTAACGGAAACTGTATGTTTGCGGCTGCCTTTGCGGTTGCGTAGCTACATAGTCGTGGAAAACTATGTGGAAGCATATATATATATATATATATATATATATATATATGCATACATATGCATATATGTATATATATATAATATATATATATATATATATATAAATATATATATATATACATATACATATATATATATATACATGTGAAAAATATGTATACATATATATGTATGTATGTATGTATGTATGTATGTAAGTATGTATGTATGTAAAGTATGTATATATGTATGTATGTATTTATGTATGTATGTATGTATGTATGTTATATAGGGGCATCATGAACATCATACCATATATAGCACAGAGCACTCATCCGTGCATGGGTTGGAGGTGTGCATGATACTGCATGCATGATTGTGTCACTATATCATATACACATCGTATGTTGCCATTGCCGGTCTTCCCATGCATCGTCTGTCACCCGCCTGTCCCAGAGCTCCCTGAGCTCGGCACTTGTTGAACTGTCAGAACGGATGATGTCCTTCAGCACCAGTCGACCCATTCTCCTCGCACACATATATTGGGGCTTGAGACACACACACAATTAAGGCTTGCAGAGCTTTGCCAATTAAAGGGAAGGCAACCAGCATGCAGTGTGCGCTGACGTGCACTATAGCCGTCACTAGACCCCACCTTTTGCGCCGACAGGAGGAGGAGCACCCTCGATCATCCCGGAATCGGCTGGAGGCCGGCAATCTAATTGCGCGCTGCTAGATTCAGCACTGGTTGCAAATTGCAGGATTCTATCCATTCCGAATTAGAAGATTCGTTGAATTGTGCATTGTGGCATCTTCTTCGGGCTCGCTTCACCCATCGAGCAGCACTGTCGCGCACCGTTTCCATGTCTGCAGATCGTAGCTCAGAAACTGCAGTGCCAAACCATAATCTCAGCAGGCCATCCACATTCTCTATTACGAGTTCTACACGTTGCGGAAGTTTGTGCACCAGAGCCCTGGGAAGGTTTCGGTTTAATTCGGGGCTTAGTGCTGGAGATTATGGATTGGGTTTCCCGACAGTAACAAAGACTAGACTGCTGAACCACCCTATCCCAGCAAGCCTAATCTACCAGCAAACCTTTTGAGGCTCAACCGTTTTCGGGGCACGACGGGCGTAGTTTGGTGAACAAAATCCCAAGACGACGTCTTCATAATATGCATATAAGTGTCTCGTACGGATACGATTGCGAGCCTTTTAGATCTTTGGCACCAGTCACAGTAGTTTTGCCATTGCTGTCGGTACGTCTCACAACCATCTCAAGCTTTGGTTTCTCGGGCATCCATCGTGGACGGTATCTAGGGAGATCAGCAATCTCTCGTCGACCTCGGTATGAGTGTATGCTCCAAGAAACACATAAATATCACCTATAGTCTCCGTTGTGGTTCCTTTCGGGGTTATAAAGGATCAAGAATATAGAATATTGGTTAAACAACAAAAAACTTAAAGGAGCTGCAATGGAGACTATAGGTATTAGAATAGGTATTAGAGCTCGAGGCGTGGACGAGGCTTTAAGCTTCGAGGGTTCGGGGCTCATGGTTTAGAGTGGGGTTTCATACTTATTATTTAGAAGCTGCCCCCACCCTGTAATAGTGACCATAAGGATTATATAGGATTATACTAGGGCCCTATTATATTCCTATTATACCACTATTACAGGATGGGGGCAGCTTCTAACTTATTATACAACCTGTGCTCTTTGGGTCTGAAGACTCGAGTACAGCCAAGTCGGTTTCTCGCTTCCGTGGCCAAAGTCACCCATCCGGATAAACACCTTGAATACATCTAAAACACGTAGAACCTGCTGGAAGAGCGGATGGTATTCCATTAACGACCCCTTCGGCTGTTCCAAAATCCACCAGACTTGTAGAGCTGCACACACGTAGATCAGCAGCAGAGTTCGGGCCGTGAGACAGTTTCCCTCCTGCACAGCTTCAAACTCTTGATTGCCCAGTGGTCTCGTAGTGCTTCGGGCCGTTTTGGACCTGCTCCTGATTGAATCAAAGCCATCATGCCGAAATCCCGTGACCAGTCGAAGCAAAAACGCAAAACCCCACTGACTCAAAAGCGACCCAAAGCTGCAAGCCCCCAAAAACACCCACAGCCTTCCCAAGCCTGGGCCTGAATCCTGTTTTTCGGGAATGATATCAGACCAGTCACATGAAAACCCATGATGAGCAGACGGGAGCAAAAAACGCTCCCGCGCCCACCTGCAATCGGCAGCACTGAGCAACTGCGTGGAGAAAGCCAACGGGATCGAGTAGATTTTGGCCCCCACTGTCATGCCGTACATCATATGCAATAGCACGACGATTTGCCTTGCAGGGGTCGTGCTTTTCCCGAAGATATGTATTTCTGTGGCTTTGTTTAACCCTGCCCAGCAACAAACGAATGAGAGCACCCAAGAATCCTTCAGCTCGGCAGTTGTCACTGCCATGTCGCCAGCAAACACTTCAAAGTGGTCTAATCCACAATCGCTATCGAAGCAGGGTAACTCCAGCACCATTAGCACCAGCGTCGAGATGACCTTATTGAATGCACATAAGTATATGATATCTTGCAGTTCTAGTCTAAGTTTCGAACTCACACAAGGTAACCCGAAACATTCTAATATCACCTGGATGCTCTAGGAGCACTCAGAAAGCGAAGACCACTGAGTATTCGCAGGCGTTGCTTCTCCCGAAAGACTAGTGCCGGGCTTCTGGGAATTTCCGCATCATGGTCAGCACAGATTTTGCGCTTCTTCGTCATGGCTCAGAGCAAGACCATATATGTTGAAAGCTATACATGCAATGTGTTTTCTGTATACAAAAGGAATCTAGGGTTACATCTATCTATCTAGTTTCAACCCGGAAGTACAAATACCAACCCAATCCAAACCCCGAACGCATATCCCTAAACCCTAAACCCTCAACTCCCTTGATCACAAAGTCCGGTTGAGCCTGCTCCCTATTGTATATAGTAGTAGTTCTTAGTGTTTAGCATATAGGTTGGCATTATTCAATCCAGGGAGAAGTGCCTCAGCATTGCGTGGGGCCGGTTTTTGGGTCGACGGGTTTAGATTTGGTGGGCTTTACATGTGGGAAGCTTGCGGCAACTCAATGACTACTCTTTACGCTGGTTCTTCTGCTTTGCCACTCTCTCCCACTACTCTGCTGCTGCTGGTGCTGGTACTAATTTGACCAATACTGCTGTTAGAAGCAGAACTACAACTAGTTTTAGTACTTGCACGAGTACAAGCTTGCAAACCGTTGGTGAAACGACTACTCCTATTGTTGCACTCTTACTACTACTAGTGTTAGTGCTACTACTGATACTCGAACTGGAACTAGAATTAGTTCTAGTACTCATACTACTACTCCTGCTGCTACTACACAAGCAACATGTGCTACTATTACGACGATTACTGCTGCGACTACAGAATGAGCCTAGAGTTGATGGGCCCCCGGTTTGGAACGACGGGCCTTGGGGCCCAAGACGGGGAGCGTATTCAAATAGCACCCCTGTTTGGCTCACCATTGAAACTGAATGGAGTTGGGATCGTTGAAGCTTAAACTCGAAGGGCGGCGCTTACCGTCCTATGGCTTGACGTTTCACTGGGAACCGATCTATGGGTCTGAAGCTTAAGGTTGGGGGTCCTTTTTTAAACCGAAGTGACAGAGGCCCAGGCTGTAGCGCTGCAGGAAATACCACATCAGACCTGGCATAAGACAGATCAGGGCGTCTAATAGAACATTGGTCATTGAGTCATTGCACACAATCATTCTCGCTGCTGCGCGTGCGACAGATGCTCACTGATGCTCAACATACCATAGTTTTGCCTCTGGCTCGCGATGCCCCCGAGCTGCACATGCTTGCACTTCTATAGATTATCGGTGATCGCACCGATGCACAGCTGTATAGAATTTGCTATACACTGCAGGACCACATCGACTCCCACATGTGCATTCCAGGTCTAGTGAGAAGCTTTCGCCCACATGCATTTGCACTGTGAACCCAATATAATGCTTTAGATGCTATCATGGATTCTGCACATGTGGTTGCCGATACCCCTAGTTCAAGCCCGCGTGCTTCTTGACTTTCTCCCACGCCAGTGCTGGACCGCCGTTGTTTCCCCAGCTCACCGTCCCCTTCTTACCTTCGCCAACCGGCTTCTTCACGTAGTATCCACGCTTCTTCATGAGAATATCGAACGTGGCACCTCCCATGCGGATCGTGTAGGAGTGCTTCCCGCGCCCATTTTCCGTGGGCCTTGCCTCTGCCGGGATCCCGATCTTTTCCAAGTCGTACTCCATCCACATGTGGTGGCCGGGGTTCGCCTCCGGATTAGGCTCCGGGACGGGCACCATTGCCCGTCCCTCCGGTGCCGGCTCGCTCACAGCAACACTCGATGGGGCGGCCGTGGATGCCTCTGACAATCTGGCCCCGTTCGATTTCTTTGGTCGCTTGAAGCTGGCCTTGCCACCCTCCTTCGAGGCGGACTTCAGCTTCTTCGAACCCTTCTTCGGATCCCCATCGCGCTGCTCGCGCTTCTTCTTGGCCTGGTAATCACTGAAGCCATCTGATAGCACAAAAGCCCATGTGAACCCTATATAGGATTATGCTTAAAAACCCTCTAGACTCTAGCCACAGGATTGTGTATAATTGGGGTGAGTCGCTTGATTAACGAAGGGAGAGGAACTTCCATGCAACAGCTCCGTGACACTGGCCATTTCGGGTGGCACTGGTAGGGTGGGTGCACTGCCACGCCCGGGGTTGTAGGGGGCCGGCACACGCTCATCGATTGCCAATTGCTGCAGAGCCTCGCACAAAGAGCCATTCTCCTTGCAATTTTATCGTGCGTTTGCTCACGCACACTCACTCGGCACAAACACACACAGAAAAACAACACTGACATCTTCAGCGAATGCTTTCAAAACAGCCTAGCCGCGGTCGAAGCCGTGGCACCACTCGCCTTGTAGCTCGAAACGGGCTTCAGCACACAGGTGCACTACACACTGCAGGATTCAGCGCATGTGCGTTGCAACCCAAGTCGCCTGGGAGTCTACCATGGCATTGGCCGCATCGGCAAGGAACGCCGGGATCTCCTCCTGGCTCTCGTCTGACTCCACCATCTTCGGGGCTTCCACCAAGGAGCATCCACAGCCCACGCAGCACCCTGCGTTCGCCGGCATCACATCACAAAACTCGCAATCGGACTCGCTCTTCGAAACCAGGTGGTCACCCAGCTTGAGTGTGGTAGCATCCGACAAATCTGCATCTTCATCCTATAGCATGCATCAAAAACTGCATGTAAGCCGACTGTGCCAAAAACGGACTGACAAAAGGCTGTCCTGGCACACCGGTGGATCTGGCAAGCTGCGTGGGGAGGAGCATCTCGTGGAACACGGGGTTCGGGCCTGGCATGACACGGTCAGGAGCTCTCAGAAAATTTTATGTGCGTGTTCACACCATCACATGTCATATAGCATGCATGCGGTCCGGAGCTTCGTAGTCGGAGTCGGAGTCATCGCTGTCCATCAGCGGGTCGTCGGCCACCCACTCGGACTCGTCGGACTCCTCGGAAGACTCATAGTCTTCGCGAAGGGCCAGCAGCCGATTGTCCCAGGCCGTCACCTTGTCTGGTACATCACAAACATGCGAAACGCATCACAACTAACACATTGAGAGAGCTGCTTCATCCAAGCGTCTGGGCCTGCATCCACAAACTTGCTTGAGTCGACCGGGCGCCCACACATATCTCTCGGTGGAACTGATCCGGCGGGCGGGGCATCTGGCGGTGGGGGCCTGGTCTTGCCTGGGACCGCCAACAGCGGGTGAGCCAGGTCCAGCAGCCTCTCCGCAACGGTTGGGGGATAAACAGGATGGCGCTCCTGAGCTAGCACATGCTTCCCTGGCTATATTGAAACATGTGTAACAATTATACGATTGCGAAGTTTCGATCAAGCCATCTGCACTTCCAGCTCCTTTCTCGCAGTCGCCCATCTCCTCGTCCTGAAATAACATGTAGCACAACGCCTACAAGAACTGCTCGGCAAGTCTCGAGCTAATGTTGAATGCCACACATGCACACGAAAGCTTTAACGACACGTATAGGTATCATGGCTAAATGCCGTCGAAGTAACATCCGATCCATCTGGGCCGGCTTCGTCCTCAGGTGGCATTGACATAAAATATTATAGCATGTGGAGTTATCCAATCCAAGTTTCAACCGAGCCGTCACCGCCGTACCGGACGGTATGATTCTCAATTGCACGACATGTTAGACAAATCCAGACAAGCACATATACTGAACACAGACCACATGCAAACAAGTATCATCCGAGTCATCCTCACTGGATCCGGCCTGAGACTATGCCCATTCATGCAGCGCAAGCATGTTGGGTTTTAGTGCCATTGAAGTCTCGCTCGCGTCACCCTTTGCAGGGCAGTCTGCAACTCCAACCGGGGATCCGTCAGACCCGTCCTCAGACACACAGGCGCACACGCAGTACACAGGATGCAGGCAAACTAATGCTATCATGTATCATCCGATTCATGATCGCTGGCTTCGTCCTCAAGTGGCAAACACGCACACACACATATTACAAAGGAACCTATAGTCATGATGTAAGTGATATCCAAGCTTCCTTCAGAGCAGGAACTTCATCTCCAGGGCTCAAGTCCTCAGGTCGCGCGACCACACACACAGACGACAACAAAATGCATGCGACGTTAATGGTTTACTCATGCCGCTGAAGTTTCAGCTGAGCCGTCACCGTGTCCAGCACCAGCCGGGGCTGCGATCACAGCGTCGTCGACCTCGGATGGCGCAGGGGTTTTAGATGGTTTTAGGGTTGGGGTTTAGGGTTTCAGAAAGAAACCTGAACATAATGCTGTCCTGCTTCTTCACTCAAAGCCTCGTCCGAAGCTTCCTCCGAAGCTTCATCCTTAAGTCTCAGATCACACGCGCTTTAACTACCATGGAGCAGCACAGGCTTCGCAATTGAGCAGTATATGAATGCAACACAAGTGTCGCTGGAACCATCACTTTCACTGGAACTCTCGGCGGGCTCCTGCACACAAAGGGATTGTTGTTCGAATGTAAACCGCCCTTTACAGGCACATCTATATAGTGCAAGCAGGGAACTGCAGCTGCTGCCGCCGCCGGTGCAGCCTTAGACTGATGTTGAACCAGTAATGTGAACTCCTCGAAACTGCTGGGGTGTGTAAATACCAACAAACAAGGGGCCGCATCAGCCGCACGGGGCGACTTTCGAAGCAAACTCTTCAACTCCGTGACCTTTGGGTCCACCGATTTGTCACCTAGAACATCACACACACAGATATACCAGGGTCTAACATCATAGCTATACGCAGCAAGCAGCAACTGCAGAAACCTACTGAGTCGAGATGCTGTTGCGAAACAGGTACCGAAGAGACTGTATGCACCGCTTTATCTTTCCTGCTTCCCGGCCGGCTGATGCTTTGGCGTCACCCTGCAACAAACGGCTCGAAAGCTTTGTATGCATCAGCAAGAGGACGTCCGTGAGGTACAAGGCCGATGGGACCTGCTGCAGTGTGCCGTTCAATATAGCTTGCTCTTGCTCACATGAGACGAAACCACAGGCAAATGCAAACCAAATTGTGCCTTCTCCGGGTGCCTCTCGACCACCGGACGCAAGATCAAAAAATTTGCCTTCAGCTCGCGGTAGGTCGGGCGTGCAAGTGCATGCTCGCCGAGCTTGATAAGCTCAGCCGTGCCAGCAAAGTTCTCGTTCATCACTATGTTCAGGGCTTTCTCGGGAAAGTTGTTGATCAATGCTGTCGACAGATCGTCAACGTCCGCGAACTTCCATGGAATCGAACCCGGGCCTTGCAAGCAAAGCGCTGTCCGCCCCCCGTCAAGCACAAGGTGCCTAAATCTTTGCTACCGAAATACGGACAGACTTCCAAGTCTTCGCGAAGTCCTTCTCGCGAAGAGCAGCATGCAAATCTTCATGTGCCCGGCTGACCGGCGCCATGACACCCTCGCCCGCCATGAAACAGCAAGGAAGTGCTATAAGAAGCACGGAACTGCAACCAGCTCGCACACCGACGACGCAGGCTGTAAGCCATATCATTCACACATGCATGAGTGTGCAGCAAGGACAATGTATGAGTGAATGATTTCCGGCTCACTCATGTCAGGGCGCATGGAGGCATCGCACCATGCAGTTGCACACCCACAGTCACAGCATTGCCTCGGACTCGCCTCTCCAAGGCACGATATATGTAAAGCTCGCGCACATGCCACCTGGGAAGTATTTTTGTGGCACTGCTTTCTTTCTTCTGCTCATGGTCAACCTCATGCAGACCTTCTGTCACCTCATGCATGATGAGGCCGCGACGGCAGCAAGAAGGTTCCACTCGGTCACGAGTCGCCGCACGAGCACATGATTTCAGCAGTCGGGCCAAGCTTATGAAATTTAGGTTTGCTCGCAGGCTTGCATGGCATGCTTGATAAACGTGTCGATGCGAAGAAGCTCGCATGCACAGCCTCGCTCGGTCATTCTGCACCTCGAAAGTTCCCTGCTAGACATGTCTGCTGGGGGCGCAAGGTCCCTTTGGTCAACCGCTCAATATCCGAAAATGTGCGTGCGTCTATATGTGTATGCGTATGTATATATGTCTGTCAGCCGGAATGATGTTTATATGGCATATGCAGACAGGCATGACCCTATACGTGGGCCAATGTCTGTTTGCTTCTGTATGTCTTAAGGTTTTCTCAGGGGACTTAAGGTTTTTTCCTCCCGCTCAAACTACTTTTTGAGCCAAAGCCCTACGAATTGCCTGGTGCACAACCCAGTCGCCATTCAACAACCGAGTCGCTGTTGCTAAACTGGAGCAAACCACGCAGCAGTCAGCCGCTATAACTTTTAACGATGTTGATTGATCCGAAGGCACCGGAATATATCAAGTCTGGACTTGCGATCACGCAGTCATGCTAGTCCTGCATGCATCACAAGACCGATTTTATGAGGCCACATGACTATGCAAGCCTTTTCAACGGGGTTTACGTGAGATGGTTTACGCATCCCACGAAAGCTGCAAAACACGAAACACAGCATTCAGCTCTTTCAGAAAAGACAGCTTTACAAAGGACAGCATCGGATCCTCCCGGTATGGACTGGTAGCCCGGATTGGACCATTGGTTCGTTTCTGCGTCCCAAGCGAAACTTGCCCGATCTCCTCGTTGAGGTAGTCGGCGGTCTCGATGGTCTGACAGCTCTTCAATGAGGTCCACCACACGCTGGCTGTTCTCGGGGCCCATGTCTTGTAGCCTAACGCCACAGATCTCACGTAGGCCTCGACGGTTGTGCACGTCAGTGCCGAGGTTGTGTGAGGTATCGTAGCGGATCAGAACAACATCACTGCGGACAGTCTCCCCTCCACGTCGCGGTCGGGCTTTGGCCTTGGGCCGTCGATCTGAGGATGCTACGCTCACGTTCTCTGTGGCATCAACGTCCATACTTTCGGCTTGCTGTGCGGGGGAATGACGTGGATAGCGAAGAAGATTGTCCCTGACGGATTGAAGTCCTCGCCTGACCAAGTCTCGTGTAGCGGGACCCACTGTGCACCCGTGCAAATTGTGTGAGTCGCTGCCGCAGGCAATGCAGAACATGTACCTGTAAGGTCCCCGTTCTGATACGCCAGTCGAGAGTATATTCACATGATCACATAGTTGGGCCACAAGCCGTTCACGATCTTCTTGGCGTGGATCAACCTCTTCGGCACCTTGCTCTTCTTCAGGTCGTGCATCCGCATCCACCTCTTGTGTTGGCATTGGCGGGGCAACGGACACTCCTGCTTGATCTGTGACATCTTCGGCACCCTGCGTCTCCTCCGCTCTGCCAACTTCCACAGGATAAACGTCACCGTCGACGATCACTGTAAAGTCGATCACGAGGTCAGCACACATGCCGGTCACGATTTCGCAAATTTCGTCATTCTTCTTGGGCGGTGTTCTCTTTCGTGGGGAATCGACGGTAATCAGCTCAATGGCCTCCGCCGATGCGTAGCGGAAGAACGATCTTTCGATGCCCCTCGCGCAGGCATTTGCCCCTTCGAGCCCACCCCAATTTGGGAAATGCAGCGGATACCTCATCGCAATCGTAAGAAGTCCAAGCGCCATTTCCAAGGTATCGCCCAAGAGTTCTTCCTTTGGTACAGAAACGCCTCGGTAACATGCTTGTCGTTCTTCCGAAGTCAAAAGCATCCTCATGAAACCTGCATAGGCGCAGTTTCCAGCATCATAGTAGCAGATGTAGCATGTGTTCCCTTCCGCATCGTATCCTCTGTCCCATGCCAACTGTTTGGCCTTTCCCCATGCTGCGTATTCAATGGCCTGACTGGCTGTAAGAGACCACCGTAGTGAGAAACCGTCT